GTTCAGAGCATTTTTAAACTTTTTTTTTCTAAATCAATCTATAAAAATGTTCTGACCTTTGCTGTTGTTAGAAGCCGTCAAGTCAGTTCGGACTCAGCAATCCTATGCCCACGGGATGAAACACTTCCTGGTCCCATACCATAGTCACAGTTATTACTTTAGATAAACACAAATATGTATTGTATGCAAATAACGTGCACATTATCAGGTTTTGCATACTGTGCAACCTCTCACGGGAGAGTTTCCTGTGTATGTCGTATGTGTGTGTAAGTGATTTACAATGGCTGCTATGTTGTTGTTGTTGTTAAGTGCCATTGAGTCGATTCTGACCTATAGTGACCCTGTATAGGGTTTCCAAGGAGCAGTTGGTGAGCTTGAGCTGCCAACCTTGCAGATCAAATCGACTTTGCAGTCCAGCACATTAGTCCACAATGCCACACCAGGACTGACCATTATAGGCGGGGAAAAACCAATCTTTTAAATCTGTATCTTTTGACCTTATCAGATTCACAATTCTACTATGGATGCCTCGACTTTTCCACGCATTCAATTTTGCATGCTATAAAAGTACCCCACAGCATTGTTGGATAAGCATGCATTGCTAACCCCAACATCAGCAGTTCAAATCAACCTGTCACTCACTCCTCGGGGGGAAGAGGAGGCTTTCTGTTCCCTTAAAGAGTTACAGCTGGGAAACCCTCCACAGGGTTGCTGACTGGGAATCGACCCCGACCCAATGGCCGTGGGTTCAGGCCACACTGATGCGTCCAGAGCACACGACCTTAGAAGTGGCAGATGGTCTCTTCCCACCTCCCATCAAAGGCCCAGGGCTCGCAGGAACCAGGGCTGAGAAAACAAAAATTCTCACAGCTTAGCCAATAAACAACATCACGGCAAGTGGTGGAGAAATGGATGTTGTCAAAGGGTTTCGTTCTACTTGGATCAACGATCAATGTCCATGGAAGCAGTAGCCAAGAAATCAAATGACCCATCGCACTGGCCAAATCTGACACCAAAGATCTCTTTAGTATTCAAAGGAAAGATGTCAGTTTGGGGACTGAGGTGTGTCTCACCCAAGCTGGCATTTCAGTCACCTCATATGCAAGTGATAGCTGGACAACGAAAAGGGAAGATTAAAGGAGAACAGATACATTTACATTATGGTGTTTACAAAGATATTGCTGCTGAAAGAACAAACAGATCAGTCTTGGAGGAAGCCTCCTTAGAAGTGAGGATGCTGAGATTTGGATTTGTTTACACTGGACATACCATCCAAGGGACCTACCCCTGGAGAAGAACATCACGTTTGGCAATGCAAGGGATCAGTGGAAATGAGGAAGCGCTCAAGGAGATGGACTGACACCGTGGCTACCACCATGGACTCAATCGCAGCACGGATGTGAGGACGGCACAGGAACGGACAGCGTATCAGCTGCTGTCACACACATAAGGTCACCGTGAACTGCAGCCAAGTCGACAGCAACTACCAACCACCTTTCCACTCCTTGGGAAGTGCTCTGGGAACCACCTCTATAGCCAGCCCAAGCCAGCAGAAGTAGAGATGTGGGGCTTAGAGTGTGCGCTGGTGCCCCCCCCCCCATGGAGGAAGCCCGGCTCCCAGGGAGTGGGGAGGAACCCTGGGAGCAGCAGGTGCTGCAGACACCTGAGGCATTCTGGGTAGTGAGCCACAGGGCATCACCAGGGGAAGGTGCTCATGACTGCCATTACTAGGTGAACAAAGGAGACTGGTTTTACAGAAGCCACCAAACCAGGTCCTCAGCAGCAGCTCCCACTATTGTGCAAAATGACCTTCCTATAAAAAGATCACTAGTTCCGAGTTTTATGTCTTGCTCACTGTGTGTCGCCCACAACGTTAAGACAAAAAAGAAAGGAATTGGAAAGACCCCAAATATGTGTATGAGGACACTGTGTCAAATACATAGGCAAACAATAATCAGGGAAACAAGTAAAAGGGCGCCTCCAGAGTAGAGGGTACTTGAGTAGAAAGAAATGGTTTGACCTATTTTACCATCTTCACTGTGACCTTCAGGTCATTCATCAATCCATTCACTACCTCGCAGCAGAGCATCTACTATGACCAGGTGTTGTTGTTAAGTGCCATCGAGTCGGTTCCAACCCATAGAGACCCTAACAGGGTGTCCGAGGCTGAAAATCTTTACAGGAGCAGAAAGCCTCATCTTTCTCCTGTGGAGCAGCTGGTGTTTCGAACTGCTGACCTTGTGGTTCGCAGCCCGATTCGTAACCACTACGCTACCAGAGCTCCGTTATGACCAGGCACTGGTCCAGAAATATTCCTCTCCAACACCATAGCTCAAACGTATGAATTCTTCTACAGTCTTCCCTATTGACTGTCTAGCTTTCACATCCATATGAGGTAACTGGAAATACCACAGATTGGCCCAGGCGCACCTCAGTCCTCAAACTGCAATCTTTGCTCTTCAAGAGGTCTTTTGCAGCAGATTTGCCTAATGCAAATACGTTGTTTGGTTTCTTGACTGCTGCTTCTATGAGTGTTGACAGTGGAGCCAAGAAAAATGAAGGTTTTGACAACTTCAATCTTTTCTCTCATTACCATGGTATTCTTTATTGCTCCAGTTGGGAGGATTTTTGTTTTCGTTACATTGAGATGCAATCCTTACTGAAGGCTGTGGTCTTTGATCTTCATCAGTAAATATTTTAATTCCTCTTCACTTTTAGCAAGCAAAGTTGTATCTTCTGTATATCACAGGTTGTTAATGAGTCTTCCTCCAGTCCTGATGCCACATTCTTCATATAACCCAGCTTCTCTGATGATTTGCTCAGCAACTTAGTATGGTAAAAGCATACAACCCTGTCACACATCTTTCCTGATTTTAAACCATTCAGTGTTCCCTTGCTCTGTTCAAATGACTGCCTCTTGTTCTATGTACAAGTTCCTCATGAGCATAATTCAGTGTTCTGGAATACTCATTCTCTGCAATGTTTGTCATGATCAACATACTCAAAAACCTTTGCATAGTCAATAAAGCACAGGTAAACATCTTCCTGGTATGCTCTACTTTCAGCCAAGACCCAGCTGACATCAACAATGATGTTCCTTGTTCCACGAAGCCACGGCCTTTCCTGTGGTCTCATTGCATTTGAGAGCTGGACAGTGAAACAGTAAGACAGAAGAACTGAGGCATTTTAACTGTGGTGCTGGCAAACAATACTGAACATACTCATGTCCATGGCTTGGGTCAGGCACACCTTAATTCCCAAGCTGACATCTTTGCTCTTGAATACTTTAAAGAGATCTTGTGAAGCAGATTTGCCTAATGCGATACGTCATTTGATTTATCGACTGCTGCTTCATATTGGCTACCTAAAATGGTGGTACAATAAAGGCACAAAGTGACTGGCTTACAAGTTTTTAAGAGTGAGTTCAGTTTAAGAGTGTGCAGGGAAAGGCAGAATCCCCACTGGATAGTTTTCATATAGTCTAGACAGGTCTGGTGAAAGGAGATGGGGATAAGATTCTTATGATTTAATAGTGAGTAATTCTTATCATTTAATTGTGAATAACAGAGACAAACATGTGATTGTCATAACTATAAACGTAGAAGTTTTGCAACACAAAGAGGTGAATAGTTAATCTTACAGTCCAGGAACAGATGACTCTAAGACCATCAAGGAACAAGAACACAAGCAAAATGTGGGACCCAATCCAGAGAAGCAGCAACACCAGCGATGGAGGCAGAGATGAGGTCATGGAGAGAGAAAGCAGCTGAGGACTCTAGACTCATGGAAAGAGAAAGGCTGTGTGCTGGCGGCCAGAAGGCAGGCTTGCAGAATGTGCCCTTTGGTTGTTTAAATGATTATATATTCCTGAGTGTTTTTTTGTACACTCAAGCAAACAAACAAAAAAACCCAGAGGGAATAGAAGCAAATAGTGTTGAATAATGACACGTGGAAGGGATTGTAATTGTTACAGTGAGACAAAATACGATAGGATGAGTGTAAAACTGATGTTCTCCCATGTAAACTATCACTCAATTCACAATAAAAACTTGAAACAAGAAATTAAAAAAAAAAACAAACCTGTAATCAGGATTGGAGGAAGACTCATCAACAACCTGCGATATGCAGATGATACAACCTTGCTTGCTGAAAGTGAAGAGGACTTAAAATACTTACTGATGAATATCAAAGAACACAGCCTTTGGTATGGATTGCACCTCAATGTAAAGCAAACAAAAATCCTCACCACTGGACCAATAAACATCAATATCAATGGAGAAAAGATTGAAGTTATCAAAGACTTAATTCTTCTTGGATCAACCAACAACATTCATGAAAGCAGCAGTCAAGAAATCAAACAACGTACTGCATTAGGCAAATCTGCTGCACAAGACCTTTTTTAAGTGTTGAAGAGCTAAGATGTCAGCTTGAGGACTAAGGTGTGCCTGACCTAAGCCATGGTATTTTCAATAACCTCATATGCATGCAAAAGCTGGACAGTGAATAAGGAAGACCATAGAAGAATTAATGCTTTTGAGTTATGGTGTTGGAAGAGAATATTGAAGGTACCATGGGCCGCCTAAAGAACCAACAGATCTGTGTTGGAAGTGCAGCCGGAGTGCTCCTTGAAGGCCAGGATGGCCAAACTTCATCTCTCATATTTCAGATATATTGTCAGGAGGGACCAGTTCCTGCAGAAGGACATCATGTTTGGAAAGGTGAAGGGTCGGAGAACAAGAGGAAGACTTCCAACAAGATGGCTGGCACAGTGGCAACATCAATGGGCTCAAGCATAGAAACGATTGCACGGTTGGCCCAGGACCAAGTTTGGTTCTGTGTATAGGGTCACTATGAGCCAGTGCCTTCTCGATGGTACCGGACAACGAGTTGGAACCAATTGGACGGTACTTAACAACAACAGTGTAACTTTAAAAAATTATATTTTCGATAGAAGGAAAATGCAACATCATGGCAGGTGTCTGCAGGCACTTGGTACTCACCGATGGACCGTCTCAGCTCAGTGCACTTGCTGACAGGGGGCAGCTTCAGCATCTCCCTCCACTTCTTACTACGACTGCTTTTTTTCCTATAGGCTCCTGCATGTAAAGACATATAAGAGGCTTAAATAAATAAACAAGACCAGAAGTTGGAGTCCCACTCAGGTATCTTTCTATTTCTGTTTTAGTAGCTTAGACAAGCTGCTGTTGTCCTCTCTGGGTGAAGAACAAAGCCCCCCACAGGGCCATCCGTCACTGGCGCTGTCACTTGGCGATCGTGTACTTGTCTAGCAATTCCTCTGAGGCTCCGTTACCAAATGTGCACACCACACCATCATACGCAGAAGTGGTGTCTGACCTCTGACCTCACCAGAGGGAAGGAAAGTCAAGGTCATCAGTCTACGTTGGAACTGACTCAATGTCACTGGACTTGGGTTATGGTATATTTCCGAAATATTTTGTTCAAGAACCATAATTGTTTGAGAAGCTTAAACTCAGGAAAATGAAAAGCTTCAAGCTCAAGCATTCTGGGGAGCAAAAGTTTGCTGAGTCTGGTTGTCGTACGTGCCGTCGAGTCGGTTCTGACTCAGCGACCCTGTACCGGCTTTCCCAGGAGCAGCTGCTGGGTATGAACTGCTGGCCTTGTGATTAGCAGGCAGTCCAGTGTTTATCCTTCAGTGCCACACCAGGACTCCTTACTGCTTTGTACCCAGAAGGAAGCCTCACAGTTGGGGCCACTGGAAGGGGAGGAGTACCACCTAGAGTCAGGTGGTACTGTGTGGATCTGGGTGGTCCAGACACTGGGGAGACTGGTGGGATCCCGCTCAGCAAAGAGGCCTTACTACAGACACCAATGTGATGCTGTGGGTGTCAAGTACCAATGAGTCGGTTTCAACTCATAACATCCCTGTATAGGGGTTCTGAGGAGCGGCTGGTAGGTTTGAACTGTTGACCTTGTGGTTAGTAATCCAGTGCTTATCCTACAGCACCACACCAGGACTCCGACAATGTGATTGTTGTTTTGGCTAAGTGCCATTGAGTAGGTTCTAACTTATAACAACTCTGTATAGGGTTTCCAAGGAGCAACTGGTTGGTTTGAACTGCCAACCTTGTAGTTTGCAGTCCAGTGTTTTTCTATAGCGTCACATATGTTGTGGTGGTGGTGTAGTACCGTCAAGCCGGTTCTGACCCACAGCAACCTGTATAGGGTTTCTGGGGAGCAGGTGGTGACCTTGAACGACCGACCTTGCAGTTCAAACCGACATTGCAGTCCAGCGCATTAACCCACAGCGCCACGCCAGGACCCCCAGCGCCACATGTAGTCGTCTGCAAAACAGACTACAGAAGCCAGGGTTTCTTTCTTAGCATTCTTTGACTCTCTGCTCTGCACTCAGACCACAAGCTCTCCACTCCAGGACCTGAGCGGGAAGGCCGAATACCACGCCTCATGAGCGCTAGGCTAGTCTGTCCCACTCCACAGATGTCCTAGCTTCCTGAGCTGGCAGGATTCAGCAGGAAGGCCGAGAACCACGCCTCAGGAGCACTAGGCTGGTCTGTTCCAACCACAGACGTCCTAGCTTCCTGAGCTGATTCTGCTACCTGCTTTCCCCACGAACCACAAATGAACCTTGTTTCCAGGACCCGATGTGTCAGCCTGGTGTTTTGGATGTGAGTGTGGGCTGGCTCCCTTCCTGGGATATCTTGACCAAAAACACATCCTGGAGTAGCTAGTGGTCTGCCACCCTAAGCACATGTCAACATTCCTCAGGAACCGCAAAGGTAAGCATATGCGCTGCATGGCATCCGGACTCCCCTGTTTCTATACTTAACAGCCTTGGCTCCAGATGGAGTCACCAAGTTGAAAGCAGCCCTGGATTATTACTGGGGAGTAAGAAATGTGGTGACCGAGCTATTGTGATGGGGTCCAGACATCACAGCAGTTTGCTGTTGTCACATGGAAACAAATGAGTCCGACGAATTAATAGGTCACATGAACATTTCTGGTCTCCACAATCCCGAGACCAAACAAGTTTAGATGGTGCCCAGTAACTACTATCTTCTGCTCTGAAAGGGACCGCATTAGAAGGTTCTGGATAGTCACTGGAAATCTATGAACAGCAATGGAACGCTGTCAGCACCAGAATATTGAAACATGAAGAAGAGCACCACAATGTTTTCAGATATAGTGCTGGAAGATGAGCCCCTCAAGTTGGAAGGCTCTCAAAATATGACTGGGGAAGAGCTACCTCCCCAAAGTAGAGTTGACCGTGATGACAAGAATGGAGTCAAGTCCTCAGGACCTTCATTTGCTGATGGGGCACAACTCAAAATGAAGAGAAACAGCTGTAAACATCCATTAATAACCAGAACATGGAATGTAAAAAATATGAACCTAGGGAAATGGGAAATTGTCAAAAATGAAATGGAACACATAAACATCAATACCCTAGGCATTGTTGTCAGGTGCCATCGAGTCGGAACTGACTCATAGCGACCCTATGCACAGCAGAACGAAACAATGTTCGATCCTGGGCCAACCTCACTACCGCTGCCACACCTGAGTCCATCAATGATGCCACCTGGCTGATCCATCTC